TTATGTATCGTTTTTCCACACAATTGCCCTCCTCATTCAAACCACAAATTATCTGTCCAGGTGATGAGATAGACGGGAATAGGATATCCAACCTCGAACCTCGATATCCATATACCTCCAATCCCGTCTATCTCTACCTTTTATGTCGAAATCTTGCAGTCAAAATCTTTGTTATTATAGGTAAATACTGGTCTTCATTCATTTCTTTTCTTTTTTGTTGTTATATATATGTCGGATACATTGCAGGATTGGGAAATGGGTCATTGGTGAAAAAAAAAAAAAAAAAAAAAAAAAAAATCATGTGGGGATTATACCTAATAGCTGTATATACCCATTTATGTGTTCTTCTTATTTTATCTCTGATTTTGTGGGGTGAAAATCGAGGAATAGGAAGTAGGATGGGAAATGTAATGGAATTAGAGGTTGCATTTGTATTGCTTGCTTTGCTTTTTATTGTATTTCTTCTCCTTTTTTAAACCTGTTGTGCACTTGGCAAACGGGATGGACAGGGAAAGAGAAAAATGAATGGGAGAAAATGGTATTTTCCCTTTGCTATTTGCTTCATTATTCGATGTCTTCTTTCCTTCTCTTATCTTCTTTCCACACCTTTTCTGACTGTCCATGTTGGTGGGAGTTTGATTTGCTTCTCCCATATTCTCTTCTTGTCTGTATTTACTTCTCCTGATGTTTCTCTAGCCTCCACTCTGCCGTTCTGCAATTGTATCTTCCTGATTCTTCGTTCCACTTCTTCTGCTCAATTACCCCTTTTCAACCTTAGTGTTTTAACACATCTTACCTATTTGAGTTGTTCTATTGTCAGTTCTATTAATGATAGATTGTATTGTACCATATTCACCTTCATCTTCCTTCATGTCTTCTATCTCAAGTTTCTTTTCACGAAGGATTGAAGATTGATAACGGGATCAAGTTCTGAAAACTAAACAGCTGTATTCTACCCCAATCACTTCTTGTATCTCTGACTATACTGGCTTTCATTACCTTGATAAAATTACCAACTCCCTCAGATTACAGATTTTTTGGGCTTGGACATGGAAAATGCATAGTGGATCAATATCCTGCCCTTTGTTTTCCGCTTCCTAGTCTTTTCTCTTCCTTCGCTGCCCAAGCAGGAGGAGTAAAATCTTCACTTACAATTTGCATTCTATAAAGGGAACTGGATCTGATGTTATTTTCATATATGTACTGTCTAGAACAAGCCTTGTTCCATCTAATTACGGCTTACCATGAACCCAACATCGTGCTTTGAGCAGTCCATATTTCTGCACCTCATTGCATTTGTTACCGATCTGGTGTCAGGAAAGCAATTTTCTTGTTATTTCCAAGTATCCTTGACCCTGTAGAAGGCTGTGAGTCGGTACAGCCACAGATATGTTCGTGGTCGCTTATGATAAACTGTCATGAGATTTCTCTTTAGGCGGAAGAAGGGGGCGAATTGTTGGCGTCATGACTGAGAGAAGAACCGTAGCGTCCCTTTTGCCTAACCGGCATCGATGCAACGGTGGTATGGAAATGCGGCGCATTCCCCAACAGACACGATGCTCCTCGCAAAAAGCACCACCCAATTAGTGGCAGACGTCGCTCCAAAGGCGGCACCTTCACAACCTTCATCTACCTTAGTGGACTGTTCTAACCACCTTGGTATGGATGCGGAATAGGCTTAATTCCCAAAAGCGGACGAAGTGTGGCACCCAAAGAATAAAACTGGGCCCTTTTTCCCCGAGATTATCCTATTCCATCTTCGATTCTCCTTTCGATTGAGGGCACTGTGGCAGCGCGCATCGTGAGTTCGTGAGAAGTACGGACAAACAACAGATATTTTGATACAGGCTAGCGGAGAGGAACATGCATCCAATTTCACAGTAGGAGGAGATGTTGGAAATCACTACTCGACCATTCTGAGTGGAATAGCAACCACAGTGTAGAGACTGCACGCACGGCAAGCCAAGCATGATTTATAAGTGAATGTTTTGGTTTTCTGGCAATGGGATGGCTACGAGATGGCCGTACTATTTCAAAATCTCCATCTTCGCCTATGCCTAACATTTAGATTCTCAACTAGTGGTCCATTAATCTTTCAGGCATAGTCATCTTCAAGGCAATCTATATATACACCTGCAGACTAGGATGTCACATAGCATATGTATTTATGGTCTCACTGAGCTATATAGCATTCTTAGTCTTGCTTGCTTGGGTCTGACCAAGTCCAGCGGCTCCTTGAGATTCACGTTCGCTGACGCATTCTCGATTTTATTTGAAAGGGATTCTCTAGAGCCAAAATGATTTTTAGCCACAATATCAGTAATTGGCCATCCTATGCTGCCAGATGCCTTCAGGACAGCCGCGAAAAGACGGTCCGTCGACGTGCTCGCAGGGATGGTAAAAGTGTTAGCAGCAAAACTCGAACGCTGGCCCTTGATGAAAGAACAACATGGCAAAGAATTTCAAAGAGGAAGAAAGTGAACACTCAGAAGAGAGCAAGACACAAGGACGAGCTCATGTTTAGTAGATATGTCAACAGAGCTTATCTGCCACCATAAGGCTCTTCACTGTCCATTGGCCAGGGAGAATCAAGTTAGGGTAAGAAAGTCGGCGACAGGGAGGCTTGGATCCAGTAGTTAGCCTGTTCTGAAGACTAATTCCCAGAGAAAATGAGCACAAACAGAAACAAATAGCATAACCCTGGCGGTAGACCAAAGAATGCCAGTGTATTTTGATAATTGGGCCTATTCCAGGTCGTCAAAAGTCCCGTAAGCAATAAACCCGCACTGTCTTTCACAACCACCACACCGTCAACCATCCCCTTTGGAAGGGCGATATTACTACCACCAAAAAAAGCACGTAAGAGAGGTTTATACCTGAAGGATAACAATTGGCTTGTTGTATAGGGTTCGATATATTTGCCCCAACGCTGTTTAAGGTCATAGATGTATTAGAGCTGCATGCCCGTGCTCATTTAACGAAATTGGCACAGAACAAAAAAATAGATATCAAATATCTTGATATTTGGTATTTCCCAAGGATATCATGCGCGAATAGCTCTGTCATTTCCCAAACAGAAGTGCGTTCGTTCACGTGTGACACAACCTGAATAGGGGGCCCTCGAGCGCCCGTAGCCATTATCACTTCCAGCCTTTCAATGTATATGTTAAAAATTTTCTGGAGAAAACTTGCATTTTCTGCATCAAGAATACCATCTCACAGAATAGTTATTTTGATATGATCTGAATAGATCCGGGCAAATCTGATATGGATAAATACATATCATGGTATCTTCGGCTCTTTTCTTGCAACAGTGAGCACACATTCACAGCTGAACAATGAACTCTGCGTTGAAAACGTGAAAAATAAAATATAAAATAAAAATCAATCACACTTGGCACAACATGACTTGGCACAGGAAATGAATATCCGCATGCAATATACACGGCTGCCCCAGCATAATGAACAAGGACTGACTGCATGGCGCGGACTATGGTAAGCATGTGTGTTTAGGAAACCGAGAAAGCCAGCAATCCCTAGTCCCGTTATTTATCAATGGAGGCCGGAGCATCCGACTTGTCATGACTGACACATCCAGACTGATATAGAGTCAAACAATGAAACCAGAGATCATCCTGTTCACAGATTTAGCGAAATGGCCAGCTGGTCTGCCTTCCAGGAACAGCCGGCAACTGAACTTGTCAGTTTGGGGTGAATGTTATTAGCATGGAGATGCATGGACATCCCGCCACATATTGGGCCTTATCCGGCCGTTGGTGCTGAAGGTCAGAGGGTCTTTCTATCCAACGTCTTTAATCCCACGCAGGTTCAATGATCATGTTGGTGTGACAAATCTGATGCGAACAAATGTTTTAATCAAATGTCAAACGGCTTTGGTAGCCTGCCAACATGTTTTCTTCTACTCTCACCACTCCCGGTTCGAGATATGGTGTTTGCAGCCAAAAAGATTCCAGCGCGCATGTCCAGATTTGTGTATTATATAAAGCCCCTGGAGAGGTGTTTAGTTTCCTGTAAACGCCATCACAGCGGTCGGTCCGTGGGTTCTTTTCCATCTTCCCCGCGTAAAATAGACATGAAACCATATTCTCATGATGACAATTTCTCGTGACGAGCAAAATGTTACGAGAAAATGGAAGCAGGCGAAGGCGATACTGGAAGTATCAACCGTTGAGCATCACCTTACCAGTATGCATATCAAGATGGGGCCGTAAGACTGTTGCCAAAATCATCGCTAATAGTTAAAGAAACTTCATTATTTTGATTTCTAACTTCAAGATCTTTTGAGGATATTAAAGCATTAATATAATCCTTTAAAATTTGAATATCTTAAAAATTTATATTAAGGTCTTGGTATTAAAGCAAAAAAAAAAAAAAAAAAAAAAAAAATACTTGGAATGAATTTTTAAATTATCAATCTGATGAATTAGGTAAGTCTTCATTTTTAAAGGAAAATGGAATACTTCAAATATGATTCTATCTTTCTTTTAAACACCTTGAAATTTCTAAAGATGTTTGTGAACAACATGAGATTGATTATATTATACTTTTATATCCTCAAAGATCTTGAAGTTAGAAATCAAATAATGAAGTTTCTTAAATACTGCTGCTGCTGTTACTTCCTATGCTTGAATCTTTATTTCTAAAGTAAAATTAGATATTTTAAATAAATCTAGTTTAGTATATTATTCAGATGCATAGCATAATTATAGAAAGTATGATTAATGATATTATATTTATAATTAATTCAAAAATCTTTTTATTCTTGTAGTTGAAAATTTTAGAAATAAAATGAATGCAATCTCCCCATCTCAAATATTCCGGAACCGGGGTGGTTCATCCTTCTGTCCGCTTGTTAACTACCATTCAGGAATTAGTCTAATCTTGATAGTCTTCTATCAGTTTTATAACTTACAGCTTCAACGGTCGTGTTTAAAGAGACGCTCGGCATGTGTTGTAACATTGGCCCAGTCAGGAAGAAAATGGCGTCTTTTGGAGGAAAATTTCAGATCCAATGTCGCGGTGTTCGGGGTTACAAAGAGCAGATTCAAAAAAGTGCATACGAAAATCTCGGATTCGCTGGTGGTCACCACCACACCTATGTTCGTATGTGAAGGAAAAGAAAAGAGAGAGGGAATATATAGGCAAGGATGCTACATATCCTATGCCAGCTAGGAGACAATATTTTGACACCAGCCCCGGGTTAGGGGTTGTCATTAACTATCACAGGATCACTGGGGTCAAGCGAGGTAGCCAACTAAATAACAAGAATTAACCTTGGAGATTGGAAAGTTGGCTGGAGAGAGCTCCCTGTTCAACAGGTTCAGTAAGGCTCCTTGTTCTGATATTCTAACCAATAACGGCTCTAATCTGCTCCTTTTGGAGATGAGCGTCGGTGTGATTTTGCTCACCGCGAGAACCTCCAGTTGATTCGATCCCGGGTAGCTATCGCTGCTGCATTAGGCGGTCTTCCTGTCGTCGTCCAAGTTATGAATTCCAGTAGTGATTCCGAAAATGGGCTCTTCGAGAGAATCATTCGCACCGCAAATTCTGTAGCTGAGGAGGCAAACAGGGGTGGTAAAACGGTGGCGGCGAAGATATGTTCGTGGGTCCATCGAGCCCGTTCGCAGAAAATCCTGGGGTTAAGAACTTGGCCATAAATTATTATATGCGTTGCATGAGATCTGAGGAAGTATTTCGCCGCACTTAATACAGCTGTTTTCTAAAAATAAAAATAAAAATAAATAAACAAATAAAAAGTAAATAAAATGAAGTGAAAGTAAACACCCGTGGAATCCCTTGTTTTGAGGGTGGAGATCGTGGGAGATTATATTTCAGTCATTGGAACGATATTTGCCATCCGAGGCGAATAAGAAGACTTCTCGAAACCGCATGAACAGAGGATACTGTATGAATCCCTTGACAGATCGGGAGCCATCATGAAGCAGATTATTTTATCAGTATTGTCCCAGAGCAGACAGTTTATATGTACATCAGATAATTATTGGCCAGCTTGCCCCCGGGCATTTGACAAAAGTATATGTTTAAGTTTAAACCCGATTTTCATGTGGTTCGAGATAAGAGTTCCGGGATGTGAGATTAACCTCACAGAGAACCGATATAACTAGATGCTTCCCATCCTGCAGAATCGTGGAATCTGGAAGACTAAATTGAGACACCAATGACCTCCAAAAAAAAAAAAAAAAAAAAAAATCTAACCCATGCCTCTCTGTCGCGGCGCTTTCTCGGCCATAACTACATATTTAATGCATAATTCGTTAATTCGAGAGTCACCTTCCCCTTGATACCAGCTGCCCTTTAAACACCCCATCAGCAGCGATTCACGACGCATACCAACGCGAGGCTTCATGCGCTCCGCAACGGGCCGGAGCGTAAGGTGATCGACGAGTGCGGCGCCCAAACACTGACGAGCAGCCGTAGTAGTTACGGAGATCTGTCTGATCTACATGCACTGTGCCATCCACACGGTTTGCAACTGAATGTCTCATCAATGTTATCAACATTGTTGATGTTGTTGTAATTGGGTGTGTCTACTGCAGTGGGTGTTGTCGCGACCCGGCAGAGACCGTCGTTTGCGCACAAGTGCAAAAGGTCGTTCCCCGGCGGAGATTTCGATTGCTCAGAGGAGTGGAAGGTCTCGGGGTTGAGCTAGGCGGCGGATGGTAGTTAGAGCAGAATCTTTATCGCAGCTCTCTCATGGAGACTTCATGTTCCAACGGGTAGATCTTGTAATTGAATAATACCCCCCCCCCCCCCCCAAGCCCAATCAGCGTACGAGCTTTTTTTAGATGCTGAAAAAGCGACAAGCATACGATCGTTATGGCTCCGCGGCATTCGACCATAATGTCGATTTCAATACCGGCGCAAAGACGGGTCTGGGGGGCCCATTCTTC